GGCTGTGTTACACTCAGACTAAAAACACAGATCTATGTAACATTTGGTAGACATGACAATCTTCATCATATTTGTAAAAATATGGGTGATATGTTGTGTGCGATGTACTGTCTAAGAGATTCACTATGGTAATAATTGTTCATTTTGTGATAAAAACAATAAAATCCTGCTGCATGTACAGTTAATATGCCGATCTTTGACCAAAAATTTAAAAGTGTAACGCATATACAGATGTTCCTGCCAGTCTTAGTTCTGCATTCTTGCACAAAAAAAGCATTTCAGTTTTTAAATRTTATTTGAAATTTATTGAAATTATTATTTTATTATCAAGTTCTATTTACATTTGTACTACCTTGTGATTGTTATAACCTAAATTTTTTTTGCTAAATAAATGTCAAATTTATTCTCATACTCCAGACTTCTTGTTTTTTATTTTTATTTCAGACTTGTTTCATGGGTTTCAGTTTTTTTTCTCAAGACAGAATGTAGTGATGGATTTATAATACTAAACATTATACAGTATGTGTGTGTGTGTGTGTGTATATATATGTGTGTGTGTGTGTGTGTGTGTGTGTGTGTGTGTGTGTGTGTGTGTTTGTAAAAACAATGAGCCATACCAAAAAAGGAGAGGGGCTGCCTTTTGTCAGTGCACAGGTCAAAACCTGCCTCTCTTATGGTATGGGGGTGAATTAGTGCCCACAGATTATGTGACATCATGCAGAAAAAACAAAATAGGTTTTAGAACAACACACACCTACATCCAGATTACACATTTTTCAGGGACGGATTTGTATATTTCGGCAGGACAATGTTAAACAGCAGACTGCATCCATTACAGCAGTCATAGAAGAATCTTTGTGCTGAACTGCCCCATAAATAAATAAATAAATAAATAAATAAATAAATAAATAAATAAATAAGTTCAACAAAGCAACTCCAGTTGAAGAAGTTCCTACATGTTTACGTGGCCCAGTCCCATTTTATTAGAGATCTGTTGCTGCCATAAAATTCATAATTAGCTTATCTTTTTTCCTAAATAAATAAAAATAACAATTCTTCAGCATTTGACATGTTTATTATGTTTCATTGTGAATAAAATATGAGTTCATAAGGTTTGCAAACCATTGCATGCTGGTTTTATTTTCATTTTACACAATGTCCTTGTTCCAAAAAGGGTTTTTTAATTATTAACTTGTGCACCTCAACACTGGAGTATTTCAGACAAACAATAATTACACCACAGCAATCTTGTTTTTCCACAGATGAACCTGAACTAATACTTCAGCTTGACAAATACAATTTCTCAGAGAATAATCATGTATAGCTGATTCATGAGTCTGGGGCCTTCTTTTTGTCAGTAAGCTTACAGAGCTGTGATTGGTTGACCATGACCACAACCCCAGCGTGTTTGGGTTTCAAAGAAAGACGGTTTGTGGAAACCCAGTTTTTTGTAAAATAGCTTACTAATACTTACACAACTTACTTCAAAGATTCAATTTCAATATTTAGAACATTGCAAAACATAAAAAATAGTACTGTTGGTAAATGGCTTGAACTTATGGAACCTTATCGTCCCTACAGACTCCAAAGAGCTTTACACTTTTTTCACCCGTAAACACACACATTCACACACTGATGATGATAAGCTACATTGTAGCCACAGCTGCCCTATAGGGCACACTGACAGAGCTGGGGCTGTGGTGCGGGCCCTGTGACCACCAGCAGGGAAGACTTGCCCAAAGGCATGACGACTGAGACGGATGGAACGGGATATCAAACTGGCAACCCACATACAGGACAACTCTTCCACGGCCGCCCCACTGTTACAAGTTGTTTCGCTATGGGACAAAAGTGTCTTTACTCAGCAATTTATTTTCCCCTTCAAAATTTTAATAACTTCCTTGTGTTTAAACATTTTTTGATTTTATTTATATATTTCATTAAAAAAACACATAACATAGGAACCAAAAAAAAAAAAAACACTAATCAAATATAATGAAAGGCAGCATTTCTTTATTTGAGGAGAAAACAAGATAGTTGAAACATAGGTATCCTATGTGGAAACAAGTATTTTATTAATGGTTTTTTGACTTAACACAAAAAAGAATTGTCCTTAAACACCAAGTTGTGTTTTTCACACAAATGTCTTCCCGTTTTTAAAATCTGAAATTGACTTTCTCATTCATACAGACCATTTCCTGTCAATAAACCACCTGTAGGAATTACTATGACTTACTATATATTAGCTACATATTATTTTTAAGCAATAAAAGATGGTGAAAAAAATCTGAATTAACATCAGTAAGACACGTGTGTTCTTATGTGCAAAAAACACAAAAATGTAAATCATACAGATCTTTCCACTCTTCTGTCAAATAGATCTACCTTTACCTATAAACAAAAGTTAAACAGAACTATCAAATTCTGCTATAATTATACCAATACCTCATCTTACCACAATATATTGCTATAGTGTATTTTCTTTTGTAGTGTTTATTTTGTAATATTTAAGTGTAGATGGGGTTCCACCATCACAGGATCAACATGCACACAAAAAAAGCCATTTAGAATCACCAATTTAACCCTGAAATGTATGTTTAAATTAATGTATGCTTTTTAAACATACATGTATTTTCTTTGGACTGTGGACTGGAGAACTCATGAATTCGTGGAAAGGACATGCGAACCCAACTTTCATAGGTTAGATTCGAACTGGAATCCTAGTTGTTATGAGGCAACAGCCCTCCTTACTGGAACAACAAAAAAACTCAATAAACTCTTAAGCATCTAAAAAAATAAGTAGGCTATAGGTCACTGAATGGACTTGTGACTCACAATTAAAGTAATATTGATTTAATTTAGTTCAGTGTCTCATTGCTGTGAATCAGATTATATTTGAGTTACTGTCAAACAGATTATTTTACATAATCTCCTAACTGAAATGCCCCACTAGCTTTCTCTGGCTAATAGAAATGCCTTTTTGAAGGCCAAAATGTGAGCTAAACCCTCCACTAGGTGGAAGTGTGACACAGATGAAGGCCATGAATGACAGGAATGAGGCAGCAATGTGCAGCAGGTAGTGAATGGCACTAATTTTAATAAGACGAGATACACAACGCACCAGAATCCAGAGTAGCAACACCTGGACAATTAAATTAAACATATTTACAATAAAAAAAAGCAATGTAAAAAAATATGCAAAGCAGAAATGTTTAAAAAATTTTAGAGTACAAACAATAAAACAAAAGGCAATGGAAATCTAATAGTGGACTATGTTCTAAGGTGCTAGATCTTGTGTTAGTGTAATAATTTATTTGAAACTAAAAAAAAAAAAAAAAATTCAGTTGGTCAATAAATAATCTGCCGAAGTGACACGCTGCATTAAAGTGAACACAGGACATAAACTCACTCATTGACTTCTTATAGCTTTTTGTTATAGTTTCCTTCAAAGAAAAAACTAAAAAAAAGTTAATTAGCAGCAAATGGAATTGCAAGTTAAGGAAGTAACAGTTTGTTCAGATATAATGATAGGTGCTCGAATGTACTGTAGACTACAATATCCCAGCCTGGAACTGAAGTGTACCTGTGGACATCAACATCAACATCACCTTGGAGTACAAGAGTTTATAATATTACCACCTATGCATTAAAGTTTTATATAGTACAGCTACTAAATGTGCACACTGACTTCAGTCCTAAGTTAACGTTACCTCTTTACTGGATGGGATTCATTGATTGTTAGGATAGAAGTCTTCAGTTTTCTGATAAAATACATTAGAAGTAGTTTTGGTCACATTCTTTAAGTTATCATACACTTTAACATTTTCCTTGATACTTCAGGGAAACAACTTCCTTTACCAAAATTTCAGCCAGAAATCGAGATCTCATAGTCACTACTGGACAGCAGAGGGCGCCCAGCTTTCCTCACATTCATTGCATTGGTTATGATTGCCGCTGCCTCCACTGGCTTCTCAAAATAGCGCACCAGGGCGTGCTCTGTGAGGACGGAGGCCAGAAACTGCTCGAACGTAATGGCCCAGTCTTTGTCGATGCTCGTGCTGTGAGGCAGCCTCGGGTCGTGCGGCGCACAGCCGTGAGGACGGCCGCCGCTCCTCGCACCGTCTTCGTTGCGCACCAGCACCGTGTCGTCTGAGATGTCTTCGCAATGCAGCTTGTCATCCAGCTCGTGCGAGCCGGCGCTCAGCACCGAGTACGAGGACACCGAGGTGTCGTCTTTGGTTTCGTCGTCCGAGATGAGCATGGCAGACGACGTGCCTGTGTCTTTAGGAGAGGAGTCCTCCAGTTTGATGTCTTGCATGGAGGGCAGCTCCTCGCTCTCCTCCCCCTTGTTTTCCTTCTCGCAGGACTTGCTCTCCAGGCCTGCAGGGACAAACACGTCTCCCAAATCCGAAGCCTCCTGGGCGGTTTTCAGATCTGAAAAGTCTCTCCTGCACAAGCTCGGCTCGCATTTTTCCTCCGAGTTGGGGACCTGTCTGCCACAGGAGGAAAAGAGCTTCCCCACTTCTCCCATTTCCAGCAGCAGACTGGTGACTGTTGCTGTTGCATGATAGAGTTCTTGTTCTGCGATATCCTCGCTGAACATGCTGTAGAGGGTCTTACAAAGCTCGATAAACTGGCTCTGAGGAACAGGAACACAACGACAGTTATCAAAATGTCCAGCCCTGAGCTGTGCAGAAATCCACGTCGCAGATAAAATCTTACCTGATTCAGCTTCGGGAGGTCTTTTGCGTTTTCTCGTTTAGGTTTCGTTTCCTGGCTCCACATTTTCAGGTACTGACGGTAATCAGGAGTATTCAGTCTCTTCACTGTGAAATGGATCAGATTTGAATTTTTTACACTTCCCCACAGACCTAAGCTCACCTCTGCATGAATGCACTGATCACACTGCAGATATATCCAAATTTTTACTAAAATCTCTCTTTTTTTGTATCTTTTTGAATGACAGAACCAGATGAAAAGTTCTCTGGTATTTTTTGCTCTTAAAAAACATTTAGAGTACACATACTTTTACTGGACTAAGTTGTGTTACACCATCTCCTTCTGTTTAATAATATCTCTTATGTCTGTTTCATATGCATCCTCCTGGTGAGCACAGTAGGCAAGTATGATGTGTGAAATGGTAGTTTTGAACCATAATAGGAAGTCTGAACTGAACAATAAAGTCAAATCATAAAAAAGTTTATTTGCTGCTTATTTAAAAGACAAAAAAGTAATTTTATACTTTCAAGCTACTCCTATGTAAAAAATTGTAATATGCTGTATTTGATCTCTACAGTTGTTTGTGCTGTTTACCTTTTTCAGTCTTGAATGTAACCCTGACGAAGCCATCATCCTTCTCTCCTCTGCACTTTGAGTCACGGCCTGAGAAGACAAGAGAAGGCATGTATTTACTCAGATTAGTGCATGTATAAACACACAGATAGGGTTAAGAGGTTGCATTATTCCTACAGTAATGAGACCAGTTCTCATTTTTATACTTTAAGAAAGAAAAGAATAACACCTTGTATCTCATCGAGTATCAAAAAATCAAAAAAGCAACCCCCGTGACCCTGAAAGGAAGAAGCAGGTAAAAAGAATGGATGTCTCAAAAAGCAACACGTTTGATCGAATGATGGAGAAGTCACCTACCGTTGGATGTTTCTGGAGTGATGTCTTCAAAGAAGTACTGAGTGGCTTCAAAGGCTGAGTCGGGCTCCTCTAGTTCGTGCGTGAACTCTGACAAAACAATTAATCATTTCTCTTAGAGTGGGTTTTTTTTTAAATGAACATTTACAGTTCAGACATAATTTGAAAAATGAATTCTTTCCCCTTCTTGTCAGTGTAGTTTTAACACTGCTCCCGTGGTGGGAAATGTTTTCTGCAGGTGGTCTGCCTCCATCTCCACTCACCAGGTAAAACATGCATCTGGTAGAGGAGCTTCAGCTTCTCTGTTAGGTCCCCATGACACAGAACACCTACAAAAAACACCCAGAAGTTTGAAGAATACGACAGATTAACTAATTTAAATGCAAAAATATTATTTAGCAAAGAAACACCACTGTATTAGCGAACATATAAAAAAAATGGCAGCACGTAAACAATCGATCTCTCTTACCCAGGCCGTTGATGAACTCGCGAAAGTTGAGCAGGCCGTCTCCGTTTTCGTCGAGGAGACGGAAGAAGCGCACAGCCAGGGGGTCCGAGTGGGCTCCGTTGGCCCAGGGGAACAGCAGGTTGAACAGACCTTTGAACTGCTCGCCGTCGATGCGGTACTGCTCCAGGTACGGCAGGCTGGGGTCGTGACGCTCCGTGGGGTTGCTGCTGCCTCCCCAGTAACAGCTGGTCAGGTGCTCAGCCTGGAGGAAGGAACAGAGAGGCTCAAACTCAAATTAACCATTATTAACAAACTTATAAATCACAACATAATAAATAAAAAATGAAAAATAATGTTATCAGCAGGTTAAATGTGTTTATTTTACATTAAACGATTTCTCCAAACTGAGATCATTCAAAGAGCGATCTACAACAAATCCACTTCAAAAGCTCTGAAGTAATAGTTAAAGAAGGATATACTGTAGCTGCAATAGTAAATGCTTCCTTTTACTATTATGCATTTCTCGCCACTTGTAGAATGTGAACCTTACCTTAAAGAGCACATAAAGCTCCTCCAGCTCATCAATACTGAAAGCTGTCTCTGTAACAATAGTTCGGACCTGAAACGACAATCAGAACAATGTAAAAAATTAGATGTAGCTCAGATCCAGTCATGCCTCAAAAAGCATTTTATTCTACTTAATCTACATTGACTTGCAGAAGAAAGCAGCTTTTGAAGTTGCAAAATTGCCTGGTTACCATTCTGGCATTTGAATTAATGAAATTAATTAAATAAAAGACCATTTGAGAAGTTCTCACCACATTGCGCTTCGTTGTGTCTTCAATGGTTTGGATGACCCTCAGTCTCTGTTTGAAACGCATCTGCTCGATCACATCTGCTCGAATCGAACCGAATTTCTGACACAAGAGACACAAACTGGAGGTCAAACCAGAACCAGCAGAACTCTTTTATCAGAGTAGAAAAAAAAACAGATGACAGGAGAAAGAGAACAACTCAGCAGGTTGAGTTCTGTAAATGATTTCCATGAGAGTGACAGAAAGAAGATAAACAGCAATTATGCACTAGTGTGGAGTTCAACTTTGTATGTAAAGCTTCAGTAAAACCAGAAAAGCGCAGTAACCACTTATGTTAAGCATTATTATTTGGCAAACATGTAATAACCTGCATCCACATTGATCAGTTACAACATTACGACCACCTACAGGTAATTTAGGTAACAATGCTTGTCTTGTTAAAGTTCAACTCTTTGTGGAACAAATAACAGTTCTACTGAAAAATAAAAGATGTTATTCTGAAACTCACATTATTTATTTGAACAATTACACTCCCCACATGGCAGCATTGCCACCTCAGAAGGATAGTATAGGTCCTGCAATAACCATTAAGAACCTGAGCTGATTATCTGGCCTTAAAATGACCAAAAACTAAACAGGTGGACTCTGACAGAACCTGGGAGGTCCACCTCACAATTCACAGGGTTCGAAGGATCTTTAGCAAACATCCATACCAAACACTCCTGATCAGAGTCGTTTATATGATGAGGATGTAAAAATTCTAATGCAGGTGGTCATAAAGTTATGGCTGATTGAATGATCAACACTAATAACTGTTTGAGTAAACAGGAAAAAGGGAAGTGAAAGATTTTAGTCACATAAAAAGGACCTTACTGCTCTAAAAATTCACGTTAATAATAAAACTAAGTGACACACACATGCAGTGTGTTTAGGGTGAAAGTAATCAAATTTAGATGCAGTTTAATGGGACACTATGATAATCTCTTAACATCTATCAACACCCAACAGCTTGTTAGAGGAAGCAAAGTGAGCAAACAGTTTGAGAAACCTGCATCATAATTTTCAGATTCTTTACCTCATATGAGTTGCGGACCAGTTTGAAAATATCCACCTCTGGATGTGGTTCTCCATTATCAGTCAGTAAAGAATGGAGGTGGGGGATAGGAGGAAGGGTGCTGTCCTTATTGGTCACACTGTCCAGGTACCTGTGGTGATCAAAACAGAAGGATGTATAAATAATAAAGCCTCGTCACAAAGCTGTAACTCTTGGGGGAGCGACGCAAATAAAACGTAATTTCGAGCTGCGTCTTCTTACCGGCCCAGGACGGTCATGGCCTCTCCGTCATCCTTACTGCCCAGCAGCTGGTGGATGTTGGCGTGCAGCACAGACAGAGCCAGCTGAAAGATGACCTTGATGCCATCGTAGAAGAAACAGTCCACCACCACTACCGCGCTCTCGAACGGCATGACGGACAGGAAGAGGGTGAGAAACCAGGAGAGCGAAATGGTGGAGATGACCCCGAGGTCCTGCATGCAGTCGTACAGCTGGGGGACGTATTCACGGGCGAGCTCCTCAAACACACCCTGATCAACGAGGGCTCCTAATGAGGAGGAACACCAGGGTTATGTTTAAACACATAAAAAATAACCAATCAAATATCTAAAGGCTTGATTGCACACACTGACCTACGACCCTTGTGTTGTAGTAGTCAGGCAGCATTCTCTCACAGAGGGCCACAAGCAGCCAAAAGGCCTCTTCTTCTTTAGCGTACAGCAGCAAGACAGACGTCACAATATTCATGGCCTGTAAAGAAAAAAACAAAGACAACGGAAAAAAAAATTATCAGGTACTGTTACAGACTGATGACTTTCTGTTAGCAGATGTTTACCTGACAGTATCCAATGTTTGGATTTCTGAATGCGTAGGCAGTCAGGACCCGGCGCAGGGCAGCGATGCCCATCTCGTTTTGAAAAGCCGGGTGTTCAGGCAGAGAGCGGTGCAGGTCCCGCTCAATCTCCTCCGTAGCCAAGTTATACTTGCCCATCGACTTCTCCACCAGGTCTTCATAGTATCCAGGATGTGTGGTCATCTCATTTATCGCCCCTGGACAGAAAAATTAAACCCACAAGTTCTCAAAGCTGAGAAAAAGTGGACATATCATGCTTTTAAATCCCCCCCAACGATGCTTTGGTCTGAATTCCTCCTTATCGTAACTCCACAATCCCCTCTTTCACCACTTGTCTGAAGTGTGTCTCAAAGCAGCTCGTTTTAATGCTGTCCCTTTAAATCCAAATGAGGCACTTCATGCTCCGCCCCCCTCCAGCTTCCAGAGTGGTCCATTCTAGTTTGATAGAGGGTTTTAGCACTATATAGCGGCACGGAAATTTTTCAGATTTCATGAAGACAATGAAATTGTAGTTGGTAAGTCCAGACTTTATTTAATTCAGTTTTATTATGATTCAAAATGTATGATTAAATGTAAACACTTATCAGCTATGCGATTAATTTCCTATCCTAATTTTACCATCCCTGTATTAGTTTACTAAATATTTTTTAGAGTTTAACCTATATCAGTAACTTGCATCGTGAAACCTGGACCAGATCTTTGACATTTATTGTGCAGAAAGATTGCAAAGTAGTTTATGCATGTATTTTGATAATGTGTTAAAGCAATCTGTTCCTCATAAAATCTCATTCAATTAAACTATTTCTTTCAAAGAAGAGGATTTTTTAAAATTTAGGTGTGATAAAGTGTTTTTCTGGGTGGAAACGCAGTGTGAAAATGATCCGAATGCAGCTGTGAAAACAAGAATAGTGGGGTCATGGTTGGATGACTGTTTATATTTCAACTTGTAAACAACACGTGGGTGCGCTTGTAACCAGAAACCTTTGGGTCAAAGTTGCAACAAATAATAGGGATGGAATAAAAGTCTTAAAGCTCACAGTCAGGATGTGATATTTTCATCTGAGATTATGTTTGGTGGGTTGGTTTAAAAGATTTTTCCTCAAGCACTCATGAGCCAGTGGTGCATTTAAAAGCTTTTGTAATATTTGAAGTTCATTAATATTTTTCCCTTAAAGTCACAGTACAGAGAGGTTTGAGGATGTTGAGCATAATTTGAGTGTTTCGGCATGCTTCATGTTCAAACAAATAATCCGACTGTTAAGCTGTTAGCTGCGGCCGAAACTGTTTTCTATTTAGACTTTTAAAATCAACCATTTCAGATTCGTGTCTGAAATGTCTTCAAGTGTTTACAAAAGCTTTAAAAAAGTCCTTCAAGCTTGTTACTTTACATAACTTCTCAACAGGATGCCAGTGGTTTACAGAACATCTGCGTGAAATACGTTTCGAGTGGTCCTCTGTTAAGGAGATGGCGTGGAGTATGACTGTGTGACCTCTCAGACGAAACATGTGACTGGATGGTTTGTGTGTTTGCTCACCGGAGAAGAGCATCCACAGCTCTCCTCTCATGCTCTCAGGAATGCCCTTGAGAACGAGCTCCTTCGTCTTCTCTGTCCGGTACATACACACGCCCTCTCCGTAGTCCGTAAAGTGGGTTTTCCACGCCTGCTCCTTCAGGAACTCCTTCGCCTGGGTAAAGGAGGAAACAATAGATGAATAATTACACGCAGCTTGCAGCGCGCCATCATGCACTTCAACTTCTCTTGCTGCGTAATGATGTAAAAAAGGGAAATTGCGAAAAATGAAAAGCAGAAAATTTTTAATCCAAGATTACAAACATCTCCTCGTGGGCACATTTTGGATTTAAGTGCTATGAAAAACAAGCATGTTTTGACAAAAAGTAATAATTTTCAACAAATTATAATGTAACTCACCAGTTTGGGGTTAAATTCCTCAGGTGAGCGACGGCGGTACATGGTCATGAGAGCCTCTGAAGCTGTGGGAACACTGTTGTCATTCAGGTTGAAGGCTCGCTCAACATCGGAACCCAAACTGTGCGGCAGACTGCTGGAGAGCAGGGATCCATGCTGCGAGTAAACCTGAAGACGTTTCAAGTAACTCCAACTTCAGTCAATTAGCTATAAACTAACATATTTTATTGATTTTTTTTATTCCTACCTCATCATCTGAACTGTTGAGGCTGCTGGTCAGTTCTCGTTCCAGGTAGATCTTGGAGGTGGTTTGCTGCAGGAAGTCAGAGATCCTCTGCACCAGGAAGTCTCTGTCTTTCAGGTTGGCGAACAGAAAGGTCATTCGGTTCTTGGTGCTGATGGAGAGTGGGCTGGGCAGCACATTGGAGCTGTCTGCCTTCTCTACGATGGTAACCTAAAACAGACCGTGAAGCGTTCATTCAGAGAGATGAAACCAAACGTGCCTGAGATGGAAGTAATATTGTGGAACGTATTAAATAAAATTTAATTTCTGTGGTCATATTTAAGAGTAAGTGAAAAGAATCAGGCTAACAGCTGCATTTTTTAAACACTGATTTTTTTTCTTAAGCAGATGAGTTCAGACATCTTTCTCCCTGCAAACGAATCAAATCTATTCTTGTTTTTCTTCAGCTCTTTTCCCGTAACAACTCACCTCTCTCAGGGGGATGATGAGGCTGCACAGCGTCTCCTCCTTGCTGGTGAAGCAGATGTAGTTGGTGGAAACAAACATCTGTCCCAGGATGTGTATCTTGTTAAAGGGAGTCCACAGGGTGCAGTCTGTGTGCCCGTCCAGTTTTTCATCTTTGGGCAGACGAAACAGGGCCCGGTAACGCTCGCTCTTGGCTCTTGCATCCAGATCTCTGAAAAATGACACATCACGCTTGAAGATTTAAAGAAGAGCAGTTCTGTAAGCAAAGAAAACCAAGATATTTTTAAAAAAGGCATTAAAAGAGCTCACAGAGATCCCTTGGTCTCAATGTTTGTGTTCTTACGTTGAAATCTTAAAACCTAAAATCTGCCACTAATCTGGACTTTCACCCTGAAAAAAAGCTACTTTGAGTTTCTGTGGATTATTTTAACTCCTAATGTTAATAGTCCAAAATCCTTCCACTGTTCGATGCCCCCAACAAGCTGTAAACAATCATAAACAGGGTTTATTATTAACGAGCACTGGCTCTCTTACCTCTTTAGAGCAGACACCTTCTTTGGGGATTTCTTCTTGAGCTTGGGCAGCGATCGGTCCTGTTCGAAGCCTTTGTTGTCCAGCAGCTGGCGCATGGCGATGTTGGCCAGCTGCTCCGCCAGCTTGAAGGTCTCGTTGATGTTGAGGAAAACGGAGAAGACGTGCTCGTTGGTGCGGGTGCTCACCTTGACCACGTCGGGCAGGAGGAGGGTTGCGCTCTTCTCCAGCTGGGTGATGTCCGCCCAGCGCACCACCAGTTTGGCTGAAAATGTGAGAAATTAGCTGGTGATGAAGCAGTTTCTCCAATAAAGTTCTAATTTGTAACCAAAACAACACACAATCCTTCACTTGGGTTGGGTTTTGAATACATTTTTACAGCTTTTATTTAGTGTTTATATATACCAAAGAAGGCGGAAATGAAACCACAATTTATTTTTTTATTGTCCATTTTAAGAATGATTCAACACCTAAAAGAAAAAACGATAAGTTGATTTGTGTGTGTGTGTGTATTTGTAATAAAAAGTGTTAATGTGTAACCTTCTTTTCCCAGTATATAGGAATAGAAGCAAAGGTGGTTGATGCTGAGGTAGAGCCATCCCTGCCGAGGAACCTTCCCCTTCCAGTAGCTGCAGGAGTAATAGTTGACCAGCTTCTCCTCTTCTGGCATCCCGAACAACTTCCGAAACTTTGCACTCGCCTCCTTGAACTTGTCTGTGTCTTCATCCTCTTTGACGTCATGATTCTTGTTGAACTCTGCGATGATTCCCTGCAACAAAACAACAAGTGATGGCTTGAATCAATAACCTGGTACTTAAAAATTAAAATAAGTTCTTAGTGACATTCCTGATTGTTGTTCTAAAAGTTAAGAACCAGGCTTTCATTCTGTGCCATTTTATTTTGCACAAACACTTGAGCATCTTTAAGAACTAAAAGTATGGAAGCTAATAGGAAAAAATTTATAAGTTGAGGTCATTACTGAGCGATTTTTAAGAATCTGGATATGAAACTTGGGCCTATGACAGTCATTTCTGGGTAACTGAAAGAAAAATAAGAAACCGGACTGTGGAAAGTATTGGTTCCTGCCAACTAGTCAACTAACTTTGATCCAATAAACAAACACTGGATTGGCATCTCATAAATACTGGTTAAAGCATAATTTATTTGCATTGTCAAAAAACAACAGCCTATTTTGATTTAAACATTGTCACATCATATTTTTTGTTCTAATATTTCTCAGAAATTAACATTTTTTAACACCAGTAGGGATGCATGATAAATCAGCATTACCATCGGTATCTGCCAACATTGGTCATTTTTTACAGAACATTGTATCAGTCTGATAAGTATAACTGGGATGATATTTATGCCAGATATTGATTTCCCATTGTTTTAGCTTTGTGTTTCTGTTATGAGAGGGGAAATAGTTTTTCGAGTGGTTTCTATTTGATCATGAAGTGATGGTGACACTGCACAGCTAGGAATAACTGAAGTAGAGCCATGTCAGCGGTCTGGTCATTTTTTTAATGGTATTGAAAAAAGACAAAAGTGTATTTGTGTGTATATCAGTTATTTGTGTGTTTGTGTAATATCGGTAAATATTGGTTATTGGCCAGAACACCATTAATAATATCGGATATCGATACTGGCTGAAATTTTCACATTGGTGCATCCTTAATTTTTTTTGAGCTCCTATTCTGCAAATTGCACAAAATAATTTACCCAGGCAAAAAAAAAACAACAACTAAAACTAAAACTAAATAATAATAATAATAATAATAATAATAATAATAATAATAATAATAATAAAGTGATAACTTCAATGTTTGATCAATCTTTAGTAGGATTTCTTATGGAAAAGCATCAACATGCAACATTTTCTTTAAATCCTTTGCACCAAACGTAAATATTATTTATGCCCAGTAAACATCCCACATTTTTGTTAGAAAAAATAATCAAATACTTCTATGAAATTTGAACTTTCTATTGTGGCTCAGATCGTTCAGGTGGGAGATCGTACCTGCACCTTCCCTTTGACGAAGGTGGTAATGTCATTCTCGTTCTCAAAGATGGAGAGAGTCTGCAGCAGGTTGTGTTCCAGCCACTCCCAGTGCTCCGTGATCTCTTTACGGGACGTTCCTGCAGGGGGATGCATAAAAACAGATTGTTTGAGAAATACTGAGCCCGTGTGTACCACATGTTAATTTGAGAGACAATCAAATATGAGCGTCTGAAATATGCAATGCAGAGTGAAACTACAGTAATTAAGAAAAATAAATAAATAAATAAATAAATAAATAAATAAATACACAGTCTTTAGGAGACTACACATGAAAAATACTAATCTTCAGCTCCAGTCTTTCATACAGTCAGTTATTATTCTTGATGTGAATCGCAGATTTAAATAATTTCCACCTTTTTTCCCAGCTTCAACACAAATCCAGGTGACAGAGCAAAAGCACCACCAGACAGGAATGCTGACATTAATTTGCATAAATTACCACCAGAAGCTGTCTCCAAAGCACTTTTACACCTAAAAGTGAAAAAAGAAAAATGGAAGTCTGCAGGAAAAAAGCTAAACAATGTGAAAATCCATCAAGAAATTAGCTAAGAAACGCTGACTGCTGAGATCATTCCTGCTCATAATCCTGCTCAGAAACCACCGGGGCATGAGGTAAAGCAGACAACGTGAGAAAAGGCAGGATGTTAGGACTATGTGTGTCGAAACCGTCCTGAAGCAGCTCTCATCTGCTGTAATCCGAAAAAGTAAATTCGGACTTGAGCTTTACTTCAAGTCGGTTGTTTGTCTCTTTTCAAATATCAAATTGTTACGTGCACATACCATGAGCAATGATCCAGTACACTAAAGAGTCGGGGGTCTGGTAGAGGATCCTGTACGGTGCCACCCGAGCGCTCGAGTCCAGGACGACGTCCAAGGTTCCTACCAGCAAACCTGCAAAAGCCCAAAATGCTTTAAGAAGAGGAAAAATCTGAAACAGCACCTTCAAAACGTGACGGGTCGTTAAAAGTTCTTCATTACTTCTTAGCAAATATGCTCGTCTTTATTTGTGCCATTGCTTTGTTAATGAGTTCACTGTGAATATGAAATCAGGGATCGTTAACATTTCTGCAGAGTTGTTTGCTGCAAACATTGACCCTTCTTCACAGCAGATTTATGTTTGAGAGCCACAAGAGACGGGTTATTTTTGTTCTGCAGCTCTTTGTGGCAAACAGAGTGAGTCATGTATAAAAAAACAATGAGGGGGAGGAGACAAAAACAAGTGAGGGAAACTAAAGAGTTTTCTCATTTTCAGGTAGAATAACTGCGAGCAGAAAGGATGCTCCAATTTCCACAACCCACATTTCCTTCCCTTCCTTCATCCAGATTATTTCCTCTCATTTTCTTTTAAAAAACACACACTGCAAGTCAAACATCTAAATATTACCTTCATTATTTAAAGATGAAGACCGAAATCTAAATGAAATAATATTGGAGTTTTAGATAAAACCCATTCTGACATTTAACGTTCTGGTTCGGTCTTGAATAAACAATTAGTGTGAGAGTAAACGCAACTTCCTCTTTGACAAAAAAAATTAAAATTAAAGCTTAGTCATTTCTGTGTGAGAAAAGACTTTAAAAAAGGTGTTACCCAGTTTCTAAGACATTGCGCATGAAATACCAAAGTGTGAGGATCTGTTGCTTTCATCGGGCGACTCGTGGCAAAAAAAAAAGTGAAGAAAACCAACATATTTACACTTCAGTCTTCACGGATGCTGAGGTTTGACCCAAGAAACTCAGGTGGGAGCACCTTCTCCGTACGCTCAGGTTAGTGTAAGTGAAATTCCTCAAACAGAAACAGAGAGTGTTTATCTGCACACCCACTGGTGGTTTTGGTTGAAAGTTTTGGTTGTGAGCTGGGGGCGGGGAGCTAAAGTTTGAACAGGTAGCCCCAAACACAATGAACTCATCCAAACATGTGACCATTTTGTTCCTACTCACTTCTGCCTTTACAGTAATGCTTTTTCCACTGTGAATGAGTGGGTGTGCAAACTATATGAAAAACAAAACAACCCAAGAAAACCCAGAAACAAAAGCAGCTGAAATGTTTCCAATTATCTTTGGCCCGCAGGAAGATGGCTGAGAATGAACTGAATAAACCAGAAAATCCACGTGATGTTTTTTGTTTCTACTGAAAGTCACAAGTCATTAGGTCTCCATTGTTAGACCAAAACAAAATCACATCCAATGACAGGCTGGGGCTGTTCCTGTTTGGTGGAAGAACAGGAAACCAGATAAACCCACTATAGATAAAAAAAGAAATGGAGGTTAATGTTAGTCTCTTTTGTTTCCCACCCACTCTCCTGTAATTACAGAAGTCTTGTTGTGACAAATTTAAAACTTCCTGCAAAAAAGCCAACAATTTCCCCTAAACATGAAACGAATACAGAGATGACTGAATGACATTAACATGTTTCACCGCTGAATGTTTTTAGCTACGACCAATCCTCGACTTCATGGGTTTTAGGTGCACAATGAGGAGGAGGCCTTCAAATTAAGAGCTTATCATCTACTCAATCCTTGACTCAGAAAGAATCATCCGTGTTGTGAAACTATTCGTGTCTTATGCTTTGACTCAAATTATTGTTTGTTTTTAATCTATGCGAGCGCCCTCGTGCCAAGTTGCACAACAAGTTACGACGGCCCGAGGCTCAACTGAAATGGAGCTTGATTTTCGAAGTTTTGTTGTGAGTTTTCCTTTCTGAGCACTACAGCTGTGGACATATTTCTAATGATAATAATAAAAAAAAACATACAGAATACCATGAGGTGAAAAAATGAATGTGCAGTCTCCAACAAAACACTGCTTTGACCTTAAAACTGGAAGAAGAAGTGAAAATTCAAACTTAGTCACGCTTCGTGCACTTTAAGCAAAGGACATCCTTTGCTGCACGCACATCAGCTATGAGGTTTTATTGTCTAATGCATGAACTTCACTTACATTTAAATAAAACTAAACATTCAGGGAAACATTAACTGTAAGAGATTATGAAAGAGGGACGCCATGTTTTAAATGAGAATGTATTTCCAAACACACCTGACATTCACATTTTATAAATCTAAAATCTCAGAAGCCGGTGGAGCAGCAGAATGTCGCCTCCTCCCCACATTCACAGGTTTATTGTGCTCTGTGCATAATTCACCACTTTCCTTCACACCTCATCATGCTGCCTCTCAAGATGCTGCAGAGCTCTGATGGAGCTACAGTTCACAGAGTCAAAACACGCACTTATCAGTTTCCACTGCCTCCCTACAAACTCCTCTCCTCCCCTCCGCCCGTGGTGCAGGAGCTTTCTGCGTCGATAGGTTTCCGTAACTTCCTGTGTCCCACTGCTGCCGGAGACTCTCCTTCCTCCTCTGAGGAAGGTTTCAGAGCAGTGCCAGTGTTGCTGGGTGATGCTCAAGAAGTCTCAAAGCTCAGCTTTTACATAACGGTGACATCATCCTTCAACGCCACTCAGCAAAAAGAGGAGGGGAAAATGCTTTAAGTTGCATCACAAGACGTAGATTTTTGATTCACTGATTTTTCAAAAATTAAAACTGAAGAGGGAACTTTAAAATGATTAAACCCTTATTTTTATTGCCAGAGTTACATCAACATATATCATTTATATTTATTAACATAAATTTAAAAATGACTGGTTTATCTAACAAAAGGTAAAAACAGCCATCAGCATCTACAATAAGTTTTTTGTTAAATGAGTTACAACAACACCTCATTCCCCTCTGGGATCAATAAAGTATTTTTGAATTGAATTGAATTGAACAAAAAAAAAAAAAAAAAAACAACCTCAGACTCATACAGGTTTGTGTTTGCATAAGCAATGCAGATATCAGGATATTGTAAATGGATGCAGAAAAGCCCTCCACCTAATCTTTATAAATTAAGTTATTGTGTAAATATCTGTGAAGTTATTTTATCTGGAGCTGGCAGGACCAACGTCTGGTTCAACGGATGCAGAGATTTGTTTTCTCTGATGAACGAATCATTTTAACCCATGGGTTATTAAAGATCATATTCCAATCATATTCCATCAAATGCAATAAAAAGTAAGATAATTCAATTTTTAATGAAGTATTATTTTTATATGATTCAAACTGATTAAATTTATTGTATAAAAAGGGTTTAAAGGGCAACTCTCATCATCATCATCAAGGCAGTGTGTTAATCCAATCATCACTGCAAATGTAAACAACAAGAATCGAAACAATGGGGTCTGGAGTTTTTATTACTTTTCTTTTAACCACCTCAAGCAGCTGCTCAGCTGAAAATGGGTCAAGAATTTTGAAAAGAAAAAAAAAACAGGACGTGAGGCTTTCTAACTGTGAACTTTGGACAAATATGTCAACAATCTGACTGCCTGGTTCTTGTTTTTATACCTCCTGCTGCTTCTTGGCCCACTTTGGACAGCCTGAACCAACAAGAGGAGGAGAAGAGGAAGAAGGGGAATGATTCAGCACGAACAGGCAAACAGACTGGGTCTTTGCTTAATGTCACACAGATTCACTGTTGTTGAGGCCTCATGGCTGTGAGCACAAATCCAGACATAGTAGTGATCATTGTTTGGTTTGTTTACTGAGGCTGAACTGTTCTTATTTTCCCCCTGCAGACAGAAACTACTCAAGATAAACACAGCTGGAGCTAAATTAAGGAGATCCATGATCAGACACTTTGCCCTGAAGTGGGTTTGACTTGGAAAAACAACCAGGAGTCATTTTACAGCTGACTGATCACGTGACCATGTCTAGAACCAAAACATGGACACCCCATTATTACCAAATGCAGAAAATCCTATGTTAATTAATTAAGCAGAGAAAGTGGGACTCACCGGCCAGTCCCCCGCCTCCATCCCCGTGTCCCTTACGCCTCTGGAGGATGAAATACGGATTGGCTCTCTCTGTGATCCACAAGGCTCCGGCCAGCAGCACATCTTCCGGAATGACCCACATTTTTTCTTGGATTTATTTAAAGGGACATTGAACTGCTGAAGGCGGCTGTCAGACAGGTCCAACCAGGACGTGACACAGCTTGCAGACACTGTTTATTTTATTATAATGATTAAAAAGTAAAAAAGCAAAATTTAATTAAAAAAAAACTGGAAAGGCCCGGTTGTTCTCTTCAGCTCCAGTCTCCACCCTCCTGTAGTGCTGGATGTCCGAGCATCCAAGCGCACTGCTCGGCTCGGCTCGGCCTACAATTTGAACACCAGAACCACAGTTCTGCCGCATTTAAACGTAAAAACCGCACATTGTGTCTTCACTGAGCAGTGTTAAAAACCAGTATTTGCAAAAAGAGTCTGGCTCGGTTTTCAGCGGAGCAAAACGGACCGGATCAGTCTTTGTTGTCCATGAAGTCCTCCTCCTCCTCCTCCTCCTCCTCCTCCTCCTCCGCCGAGAGGGAAGCAGGTGCGACTCAGTCCGGTTTGTGTTTAACCGGACAGGAGCCGTGTCAACTCGATAGAAACTGCCTGGACCGTCTCCCGAATGAGCTGTCCGTCCCTGTGCTCGAGACAACCCGCGACACTTTGACAGAGAAGCTGAAATTAAAGCTACAGTCTCCTCCTCCTCCAGCTGAAGCGGAGCGGACTTAAATATATAGAAGCCCATGAGTGCCAAAAACACGTGTTGTTTTATGCTTGAACATGTGGTTTCATTATCAAAATCTCACCCATAATTAACACACAAACAATGCACTATCAATGCACAAACAACTATATGTGCAAATAAAAATAGCAATAAATGCAAATTTTACTTATGTGTGACCCTTTTTTGGTAGTTTAAGTAACATTTCTTCTCATCGGTTGTTTAAATCCAGGTCTAAACAATTTCAGGTGTTTTTTATTTCTGTTTATCTGCTTCATTTCTTTTTACAGTTTATTGTAGTAAACTTCTACATAAGCAATGTTTTGAGTATAGACTTATGACATTAGATGGTAATGTAAAACTTTTAATTGCTTTAACAGTGTTGATTCTGTTTAAAATAAACAACATACAAATCAAGGTGCACGGATTATCCACAAATTGCACAAATTTCCCCCCATGTAAAGTACAATCTTATTCAAGTCTCATAGCCTGCAGGCTGTAAGTATGGTATTGGTATTGGTATTGGTAATTGGGGATGGATACAACCCAGGTGAGTGGGGGCCTCATAAGTGGGCCCATTGCTCTCCCCAAAAGATACTGGGCTTTAATCAAACCTTTTTGTCCCTCGGATGAAGGACACCAGKTTAGAAACCCTCAGTGTTCTAAGCTTCTCGGGATCCACAAAGGGGTCTCCAAGAATTCTTTCCCTTAGACTACTCAGAGCCAAGCATTGACCTAAGTAGTGCAAAGAGGTCTTTGATTCAATGCCCCAGCCATCACACAGACCATTGTCTTGGAGTCCCATCACCATTTTATGGCATTGAGCAGATTGTGCCCAGTTAGGACTCCAACCAGTGTACTTAAAGTATTCCTTGTCAAGGCAAGAAGGGATTTTCCAAATCCATGATTTGGGCTGTTTATCAGTTCCCGTGCCTGTCTACAATCCGTCAGCTCCCTCCATCGGATTGAGTGTTGACGTCTGATCCATGCCTGTAGGGCAGTCCTGCAGATTGTTGTTGAAATGCCCATAGCAGGCTCTGGTCCTTTAAAGTGGGCCTGACTGCCAGCTCTTGCAAGGTAGTCAGCTCTCTCGTTACCTGGTACCCATTAAACAGTAACTGTTCTCTCTCTCTCCCCATTGGTTGACTGCTTCGGCACACTTCCAAGTCAGTAGTGACGTGAAATGCGGCCCTTGGAGAGCTTTAATAGCAGCTTGGCTATCTGTCAGGATGAATATTTCCTTCTGCATACATTGAAGATCTTTGAGAGATGCCGCACACTGATGGATTGCATATATCTCAGCTTGAGATACCTAGGCTGTAAGTAAATAAGTTTGCCACCTCCTCATCTTTCCTGCTTCTCTGCCACTACGGAAGCCGTTAACTCTGACCCTCCACTGCCGACAGCCCGTTAGTCCGCTCCAATCCTCTGCTCCCCTTGTATTGTGTAAGAGTACAGCAAACTTTTTGTGAAAAGTACAGATTTCTTAAAATCAAGATACAGGTAAACCTCTGAAGGGGTTGACATGTGAAACAATACATTTTAGTAAGCTGTAAATATATTTAGTTGGTACAGCTGCAATGTTGCCTAATGGTTTTTATTTGACTCTTTTCTTTCTTTTTTCTGAAAGCTAACTGTTTGTGTTATTTATCTCCCTGAAAAAGAGCAAATGTACTGTCCACAGGCAAACATAATGTGTCAAAGTACTGTGTCTTTGCTTTGGCACTCTTGGCTTTCCATACCCTGTAGGAGGTATGTTGAGCCCAACACTAATGAATGAGTGAACTCAGTTTAAGGTTTTAAAAGTAGCAAAATAATGATTAACCTTTTCAGATTAGGCATTTATTACAAAACAATTCCAGGGATGCAGGTTATGTGCATATTTGCTATTTTTAAAGGACAAAAAAAAATCTTGTTTTGGGGTTTTCTCGTCAGGTTATTGATGATCTGATCGAAGGTTACACTGATAAAAAAAAGGACCTGTTGTTACATATAGGATCGCAACTGGAATCTGATCAATAATATTTAGCATTCTAAGGAACACAATCAAACGGTTATCTGCAGATAGGGTGAACAGAAATGTGTTCCTTTGAGCAATCTGTGGCCCGAGGGCAAAAAGAGGCTTCTGCATCACCTACGCCCGGCCCACAACCTCAAACAAAAACAACTTTTCAATAATGTGTGTGTATTTATTATAATATGAAAGAAGAAAAATGCAGAAGATAAGGAACAAAGATGAATACTCTCATAGGTGTTGTGATGTTTTTGTTTCATCTGAACAACATACCTCTGTTTCCTGTTCTTTAACCTCAAAAACAGGATACAGAAACTGGGGGAATGCGGGTCTACTCGGCTCGGGCTTCGTGTCGTTGTTTACAAACTTTCCCTCAGACTAACCACACCGAGTCGACTCATTGCACACTTTCAAGGTTGACGTGGTTCCACCGGTCGCTACTGCACAAGACGGATACAGAGATGAGTGTCTCACCTTACAGTACCTCTGCTTTTGGTTTCCCATGGGGTTTCAGATGGGGGAGCTGAACTGTAGATAGAAAATGACATAATTATAAATCTGTAACCTTTAATAATAAGAACACAGAGGTCTCATTGGTTTTATTAATTTAAACCATCAAAATATTAAAAGAAAACTAGATATATTCAAATACAATTTTCAAAAACCCCAATTTTAAGTAAAATACATACCAAACATCATACTTTTTGAACAAATACATATGAGATAAGATATAAAAAGCACCACAGTGGGACTGACAGTGTGTAAAGGGATTTCCCTCTATCATGTTTTGTGTAACATAATCATACACTGTGCTCGTACAAAACTATGATGACAAATCCCCTCATGCCTTAACCAAAGAGATAGTCTCGGACAATTTGTTCCACTTCTCCTTTGTCCTGGATCACATCCCCATTCTTTTACGTGCCACTGACTGTTTCCTGTAAGAAAAGGAAAATGTTGCATGCTTGTTTTGTTCTCTGGTTTTTTTATTTATTTATTTATTTTTGGCTTTTAGTTTAAGTTACAGTCAACATGAAAATTTTTAATCACTAAAGCCAAGATGGACCCATTCTGTTGACCTATCTAAAGAATTATTGTGGGAAATAAATGCTGTTTGAAGCATTTATTTCTTCCAAATGACTGATTTGGATGTTTTTGAGTGAACTCAAAACCTTTGAAGGCAAATATTGTTTTTGAATTTAAGGTCTAGATATTTCAATATGTATGACACTCATTGTATGTGCCATGAATAACTCTTCGCTACTACATCGCGTTTTAGTTCAACATTTGTAAAATTGACTGAGTTATAGTCATTTGTGTGATGGCTATGATTGGTTAGATATGGCAACTATTTTGAATTGCAGTGATTCCAAAATTTAATCAGTTGCAGATATAAATGCAATGATGGATTTCCGAAAGTTTCTCTAAAATTTGTTCAGTGGTTCATGGGATATTTTGCTAACAGACAGGCAGACTGCTCGATCAGTTAATGCTCAGAAAATGTGTTGTGAATGTCTCTCAGCTGTTCTGATTTTGGTTTAGTCAGCCATATTTGTCAGCTATCGTAACCACAAAAAGTTTATCAGTTGTAGACCTACACTCAAAAAAAAAATACTTTAAGCAGTTCTTGAAATATATCTACTGGGTCATGAGATATTTTGCTAACATTATAGACAAACACACATGAAGACACAGGCAAAACTGTCACTTTTGGCAGTGGGAGATAAAGATGCTTAATCGAGAACTAATGACACTTGCTTTTATCATCAGCCATGAAACAAATAGGTAAGAAGATTTAAATTTTAAAAAAATACTTGCTGGATTATTGGTTTTCGAAGGAAAGCAAAACTGTTCAAAATCTCCCTCTTCAAAGGGATTTTGTGTTGCAGGGTTTCAGCCTATGATTCTGTGGAAATTATATTCAGCGTACAGTCTCACAGGAAAACATTCAGGTTTCTGGTTTCAAAGTACAGGGGAGTTTCTGACAGACTTTTTTTTGTAAACACACTGGATGATTGTGCTACTTGAAGCTGACTCACTTCATTTGTTCTAGAGATATAATACATGACCATTCGTCAACTAATTAAGAAATGACGTCACACAAAAGTGACAGGTGCCACGCCCGGGCGTGGCACCTGTCACTTTTGTGTGACGTCATTTCTTAATTAGTTGACAAATGGTCATGTATTATATCTCTTGTACTGTTTGAGGACTCCAGCGACCCCCTCAGTTTATATGATCACCTAACAGTGAAACACCAACCTCTGGCATAAAATGAGGCATACTAAAAAGAAAATATGCACAACCAACATTCAACAAGTGCTGAAACATTGAAAACAGCTCTGTAAAAGTTGGAAAAACCTGATCAAACTTTATTTGAACTCACAGTCAAACTTCAAACTCATGCATCATGTAATGGTGACTCACGATGCATTTCATACAAAGTAAGCAATATGTTCTTCCCATAGATAGTTTATGATATAATGGTGTCCTCCACCCACACCACACACACAAAGCACAGATAAAACATCACAACATTGCACTAAGAAACAAGTGACTCGTGCTGCGATCATGCCTGTAGCCCTCATTCTAAAAAGCTGTCCAATAAAAACAGAGATTTACTTCAGGCTTCGCCACAAACTGGATGGTTAAAGTGCAGACAGGGAGTACATAACAAAAACAGTGATAAAGTAGTGCTGCTAGGAGGAAAAACTTTAATGACAGAGATCTTTTAATTTATGTGAATACATTCTTTTAAGCTAATGAGCTGCAGTGAAAGATAGTGTGACTCTATTAATTTAATCTTTAATACATTTTGAAGAACTGGTACAAAAATATTAGGCTTTGACAATTTACCAGTGTGCTTTTTTAATCTTTAAATTCAACTTTTAGACATGAAGCCATAAAACACAAAGAATAAAATATTCTCTTAGCACTGCGCACCACCCATTTACTGTATATTAACTATTACATTCAAAGGAAAATGAAAGTATTAAGTGAAGCTTTTTTTCTTCTTCTTCACTAACAAGGCAAAAAAGTGGGACTTAGGGGTGTGGAGGGTGGTGCAGAACCCCGCTGGTGTATGCCAGAGAACAGGTGTGTCCAAATACGGAGAGACAATGAATGAAAAAAAGGTGAATTAAAACAGGCGTCAGTATTTATGTCTAAACTCCAGTAAATGTGTGAATCTGGGAACAGAAGTGTTATTGTATAATAATGTGCAAAACTTTACCCACAAAAGTTGACAGATTAGCATTTTGTTATAATTGCAATTCTACTGACATTATTATTTAATATAGCAATATTAACCTTAAATGTGACAATATTCTGTGCTCCTAAAAATAGTTTTATTCATCCTTTCAGGACAGCAAATGGAAGAGGATGACATGTTGCCATGCTTCACAATTTGAGAATATAAGACAGTACTTTCTAAAAAATTAGCATGACATTTTCCTTTACAAAAATAAAATGTAATATTTGATGCTGTGTGTACCTTTAGGTTCAGGCTATGGATTTTGTTTATCTTTAGCTAATAAATGACCTAAGCTAAAGGTATCAAAAATAAAATAAGTAGGTCCTCTGGATGGGTTCTTCTTTAGAGAAACGTTTCATCTCTCCTCCAAGAGACTTCTTCAGTCTGATGAGTTTCAGATGAACTCAGCCTTATAAGCACTGCCTCCACATGGACAAACAGGTTAGTCACATGCAAAAGAGGGCCATCGCCTAACAATAGGCTTGATTAGCTCTATAGTTAAAGGTATTTTGTGTCATAGAAAGGTTGGTAATTATGTTTTTTTAAAGAAAAACTAAGAGAACCGTCCTACCTTAATGACAATTTCAGTTTTCTTCTGTAGATATACCGTACTGTTTTATTTTGTTTATATGCCAAAAACCAAACAGTCTGAAGGGCATTTTGTGCATTATTATAAGACAGAGGTAAGATATGAGCAAAAAACAAAAACAAACAAACAACAACAAAAAAAAAAAACAAGACAAATAGGAACTCTTAGGTCAGCAGACACTTGAGCACATAAGCGAATCACATTTATGGTCACTTTCTTATCATTACAAAAAGTTAAAACATTTAAGAAGAATCCAACATTTTAAAAACTCTTTACCAAGCTCTCACAAAGAACATGGATAACAGAGACACTGGTGAAGTCCTTCTGAATGCCCTCAAACATCTCAGTGATGCTGAACTTGTGTGCAACATGTAGAGGTGCTGGTTTAACAGCAACAGAAATCCAAACATCCGTTCTTGAGTGGAGGCAGTCAGTCAGTAAAACATGGCTGCTGTTGAAATCTTTCAATTGTTTTACTTTATGAGCTAAAATAACTTACATGCCCAGTCAAACCCATGCAGACGGTTAAAAAAAGCATTTACGCAGAGAAATAATGACCGAATGTTTGTGAAAAAGTGCAACACGTAGTGACAGACCCACACAGACGTGTAAACAGTGGCTGCAGATAAGAGAGTCGGTCACTTTGGGAGGTTCTGTGCTTCTTCGCTGTTCAGTCTCACAGGAATGTATGAGCAAACTAATGCTGCTGATCAAACTCTGGACAGCTAGATGATAAAAGTAAACACATTACAAAAAAAGAACTAGAAGTACTACAACAAAGTTTCCCTTGTTTGCATCAAAGGAGAGGGACTGAAAACTTGCATTGGGATCATGTAAGAACACTGGTTTATTTCCAGCATATATGAGATCCTGTATTGGGTCCAGAATTATAATATTCAGTCTTTGGGTCATTCAAGGAGCTACAGGACACTGACATTTTTTTAACATTACCCTGCTCCATGTGGACAGGCTTCAATATTAATATGATTTATAATCAGTAATATTGTGAAACCATAACCAACGGGTGGTCCACTCACTCTGTTGACTCAGGTTTTACTACAGAGCCTCATATGGGACTTTTAAGGCTTTAAAGATGCAACTGGAATATCAAATTTCTCAAACAAGACACCACGAATACACACATCGCCTTCTATAAAACTAAATACCTTAATTTCCCCCTCCAGCAGACATGAACTATTTAATCCTGTGCCATCAGCTTTTTTCTTAGATCTTATTTCCTGAAAGAATTCAAGCCAATCTCCCCTGACAATCAGTTAAACAAACCGGTTTACATAAAAAAACCAAACCTTTTTTCAAATGGAACAGACAAGCTTGGCACAAAGACATGAACATGATCTCCAGCTGGTTTGTGTGCAAAATTAAATTGTCAGAACCTAACAGTGATGGTGTGAACACAGTCACAGCAGTGTGAACATGACCTGTAGGGGCTCTTTGTGTCATGTGTTGTGCTAATGTTTGGTGATAATTATCAGCAGGTTCAGTAGGGCAACAGGTGACATCACTTCAAACCGCTTAAGATAAGCAACGATTGTCAGATGTGAGGACACCGATATCGACTTCGTTTTGTCCACAAAAAGCATTTTCAGTAACTAAAGCAAAACATTTCAATGTCCGATCAACAACAGAGACATCTACACATTGAAATATTACAGCGTAACGTGTGCTTATATGTTCAAACTCATTAACTGCTTGCTACCATCTAAAACCAATAAACTGTATAGGTATCCATTGCAGCAGTAAAACCTGGGGAATTGTTGGCAGTGATCTTGTTCCAAGTACTGTGACACCTATATGTGTTGTCATGCTGGTTAAAGCTGCACACATGCGTTACACAGGCCCTGCTGCTCCCATGTGTTGTCCATCAGCAGAGACAAACGTTGGCTTTCATCACAGACTCCAGCGTCTTCACACAGTACTTTGAAGGACAAGAGCAGATTTTGTGTTTACACTGCAGTCGCAGCGACAAATCTGTTTGGAGTCAGTGAAACTGGTTTTGTGCTGTTATTTTACTTTTTTATCATCTCCAAATCAGCTACAGATTCAAACTCCTCTGATAACTCAGTTCTGTTTTCATCTTCTTATCCCAGAACGCTTCTCTCAGCACTGATTGGCTCTGGACTTGGTGCCATCCCGCTCCTGCTCTATGGACAGGTCTGCTTCAAACATGCTGACGTCCATGCTCATGATCACAGAAGTGTCTGAATCACTCCTGGGTGGAGGCTGGTACTCACCTTGGCAAAGACAAATACAAGTCACAGTGAGTGAGCGTGTTTTGGATCACTTTGTTTCTAATCTGTATTTATAAAGCGTTTACTTCACTTCAACCTGCAAAAAACCTTTGTGTCCACTTGGTGGCAGCAACAACTGTCACATTACTAACAAATGCTCAGACCCAGATTCATTAATGGTTTGCATGGTTTTTATGAGCAAAATTTCAGATATGCACCTCCAACTTAGCTGTCAACCACACAGTCTCTTTGCAATGGTAGTTTGTCTATAATTAAATGAGATATTATGTAGCCTTTAGAGAAAAACTCTCACATTCATCAAAGATCAATGTTGTTTTTGACATGTATTTAGCATAAACTATTTACCATGTCCTCAGAGTTAAAACCTTAACAGTCACCCCTGAAATTCCTTAAAAGCCTTTTGATATTTTTGATTTTTTTTGTAAGGGTTTCAAACTAAAGGTAAGAAACAGAGGAAGTCGTTTGACACCCTAGTTTTCAAAATAAAAGCCCCTGGTTACGTCTGGAAATGTTTAAAGGCAGAAACTACAGCATTTTTGCCCACCGGTGGAACAAAATCTGTTAAGGAGTGACAGTTAGTTTCTAGATAGCTTTTGCTACATTAACTTTTTGACTTTTGACTTATATTTTGCTACATTTAATCTAAAATTGTAGTGCTTTTAGCTAGTGTTTTGCTGCTTTTATTAAGCATTTTGCTACTTTTAGCCAGCTTTTTGCTGCATTTTAGCTTACCATGTGCTATGTTTAGCTAGCATTTAGCTATTTTCCCTTTTTAGCTAATGTCTGTTTGCTCCAGCAAATAATCAGATCTACAATATTTGCTTTGTTAATTTGACATCAAGATGGACAAACTACGGAGAGCTAATAAATAAATAAAGATGGAGCACAAAGCACCTGCAGCTCAGTGTTGGTCAATCTGGGCCTCAGACTTGTGTTATTGATCCCTGATAAATTTAGGTCCAGTCTCTTTTTGTAAAAAATACTCAAGCATTAAAGTAGTAACAGACAGCTGCTAGTTTATAAAAAACACACTCGATGCGTTTACGTACTGCTCAGCATGACATGGCTCTGCCCTGCCTGCGGTGGCATTTCTGTATCGTGATGCAGCTGCTGCAGGTCCAGCACTCGTCCTGCAGGGTCCAGCACCAGCGAGCTCTCGTTAACTGTGATGTCACTCGCAGCACTGAGAGGACCGCCCACAGCCTCGTAGTCCGGAGGAGTCTCATCTGTGCAGTCTGCATTGAACTGAAACATGTCCAACACATTTTAGAGGAGGGTTCTTGTGCAACATGGGGTTTTATATTATCGGCTTTAATATAGGAGCTTACTGGGATTCCCAGGGCTTTGAGGATGTTCATCTTGCACATTGGACATGTTCGGTGGTCGTGTAGCCATGGATCTACGCAGTGCTTATGGAAGACATGTCTAAACAAACAAGACAGATATATATATATA